TAATTTGTCTAGATGATTCTGGTTCTGATTTTCTTCAGTACCCTTTTTTTCTTCAGGCAAAAACTCGTTCCTCCTTAAATCAGTATCTAATTATCTATGAGTTTTTCGGTCATTCATTTGCATTTCTATTTTCATTTTTGTTCGTTCATCCACATATCTATCCATCTTTACATGCAATTATTCGTTTTTTCATTCTTTCCTGCAATAGATACATTTATAGTCTYGCTCTTAGTTCTTCCAAGTGGTCAAATTACCATGACAAAAAAATATACTTCAAAATCAACGTCATATCAAAGAATTGCCCCACAAAAGTTATCCTTCGTTCAGCAGCCATATATGGTAATCTTACCTTATTTGGAAGTTCGATAAGAATGGTTTTTGTCGATTTTCTCGACTTTTAAAGCTTGAAATCGTCGGAAACTTGCAGATATTATAGCGAAAACACTTCTAAACAATCCGCCATTTTGTTTGTTTCCATATATGGCATGGATTCGCTAAAGGAAGCCCAAAACTAAAAAGCAAAGGGATCCCGCACGAATGATATACAATTCTTTGATATGTTTTTAATTGGAAATTGAATCTAATTTCGCGAAGCAATTTTCAGTTATGTCCTATTACAAGTGTCGCGTCGGCAAAAGACGTGTTTACACTACGTGGCCTGTTTACATAAACTTTATGAAAATATTTTTTCTTTTCATGTCCGTTAGACCAATTTTAATGAATCCAGATAGAATTTCTACAACGGCTATCGAATATAATTGCTATATTCTCTGCACGACATGAATTGAAAAGCGAAAAAAAATTAGTTTTGTTTTCGTAATGAAAAAACCAATTCTTTTACAAATGAATCCTATTTTCTTTGAAAATATTCATGAATATTTTGTTTGGCGGTATTGAGTGTTCCATGCGAGAGCGAAAAACTTTGAAAAATTATTGCAATTACCTTTTGTAGGTTTTTGGCCGTTCCTTGTTGATAAAATTTTTTTARATGATCGATTGGAGGACTCAACGGCCGCCATCTTTGACAGCATCTAAAATGGCCGACCCATTTATTCGCCTGCAAAACATTTATCGAGAATGGTGAACAGTTGTTTTTAACACAAGTCCTAAAAACAAAAATCAATCTTTTGAAATAAGTATGGTTTAACGGCGTTATTATATTGATAAGTTTAAAACAAATTAAATTTTGCTAGGAAAAGCTAGCTTTCAACATGGCTGCTCAAAAACTGAGCGAGTTTGCCAATTTCCAATCCTTGTCGTGAAAAACACTGTGCAGTGTGTCAGTTTTGAAATATTCAAGTGTTACTTAAATTCTGAAATTATTTACCTATAAGCGTGGCGTTTTGACAATATAAAAATCTACAATGCGAAACAGTGAGTCAACTGTCAGGAGGTTTTAGTTGMAAAAGACTGCTGTGCCGACGAAAAAAACTCATTTTTGACCATCCAGAAAAAGGCTTTAAAATAATGTGTGTAATTGGACGAATAATCTAGAATCACGTGATAAATCACGTGATAAACGATCATGTGATTAATGTATGAGCGAGGTGACCCAGAAAATAGTGCTRGATTGTGCTTATATAATCATGTGATCTGKTCACGTGGTTTGTGCTACCTATAGGTGTAATATAAATAGAAATGTCTTAGAAAAGTTCAAGGTAGAAAAACAATACGACGARGTCCTGCATTGATAATTAAGGCCGCTGAAACTTGCTGAAAAAATGTTTTCTGAAGGTGATTTTTGTGCATTCTTATCACATTGTTGGGCATTTGAAACGTGTGATCCAAGCCAGTTGGACGATTCTATCATACATTAAATGGACATTGCACATGCGTCGTATTGGTAAACCGCTGAAACGAATGAACGCACATTCAAATGGAAAACGCATGCGCCAAACCAGTTGGGAACACGTCATAGCTTGAAGTCACCAGCATGCGTCGAATTGGTAAACCGCTGAAGCCATTGATTGCTGATCCGAAGTTGTCTTGAAAACTTGTAATTCATATTATAAAAATAATACTAGCACGATGCATGAATAGCGGGCGGTGAAGAATTTATCAATTCAACGATGACTTCCAAGTGGATGCCGCTGACATAGCTGACTGCGGTCGTCACGTGACGTCAMATCGGTATATTAGACGAGATATTTCAGCATGTGGGACATGCATTCAGATCTCATGCTATCTCTTTGTAACTGATTTGTCGCCTAAATCAATGTTTTCAATAGTTCTGAATATTCGTCCATTTCCGGCTTTTTTCATAACTGGTTTAGTTTGWWTTGATTTCGAAATGAAGCCATTTCTTGCCCTCGACGGATCAGTAGTGAGCTCTTTAGTTCTAGGTTTATGGAAAGTATTTTTCCCATTTTTTAACTCATCCGTTTGCGATATAGAAGTGTTCTTGCTGTCCCCGCTTTCAGAGAACTCGCCCAATTTTGAATCATCTTCTAAAGAATCTGTTCGATCYATTTGAAAAGGGTGTGACGCAGAATCTATGCTTCCTTCATAAGTTTCGATGGGTTCCGAGTCTGCTTCGCCAGATTTCACTTGTGCCAGCGGTATGCTGTCAAATGATGACCGAGCGGGAACTGGTGACTCCCTCGGTGAAGGCATTGGAGTAACTTGTACTTGCACAACCTTAAAAGAAAATGGAATTTGATTGGTCATATAAGTTATCTAATACAAAATACTAAATGTTGTATATGAAGACTTTTATCAACAATTCAAAATGGCCATCAAATCCCGCAATGTAAAGTGGGATATAAATCTCACGTATATGACCGCTGCTAACTCAATCTGTCGTCATGCACTAGCTTGTTTACAATATTTTTTTAGTTAAAGTATGAATAGATAATTCAAGTGAATTAGGTYCACACCATGCAAACCTAACGAGAAAACTGATTTTATCTCAGTTTCTTGAGATTTGAGATCRGGAAAAGTCAGAAACAAAATCACGAATTTTTTTTCGGCATTTACTTTCAGTCCTAAATGATACATATTTTGCCACAGCAAACAGAACTGCATTTTATAACTTAAATAATAAGATAAATTATAATTCCACAAAGATAATYTCAGATGAAGTAGCAGAACAAAAGAATAACAACTTTTTTATTGATAATCAGCGAATCTTTTTTTAAATAAATTGAAAGAAATTGTTTCTCTTTATTGTCGCTGAGTGTTGTTGCTTATTGCCACCTAATGAATGTTATCATTGGATCAGATAATGCGTAATGAATAAAACGAAATGAAACGAGCTCGTTTTCAGGGTTTTTTTCTACTAGAAATGAGTGCTTTTGGAAAACCTATTTTGCCTCGTCGATAGTAAACAACGGAAACAATGGGCTTGATGACTTTACAGTGACTATAAGTTTGTCTATTCTATCAAAGTCGAAAAAAAAGCACTTTAGTTTTTCCAATTATTTTCAAGATGAATCCATTTGGTGAAGTATCTATAATTTGTTGGCCACAGCTGTCGATGWATGAAGARTTTTTTTATAAAATGGTYCAGGCCTTAGCTTGGAAWCGATARGTAAAAATATGAACAAATAAAGGAGTTTGTTTTTCCATTTTTTTGTGCTCTTAAAAGATCGAATATTTAAAGGCATATAGATAAGAGAAGACATCATGACTGAACAGATGAACGATTTAATCTTGAATAAAGAAATAAATGAGTGAAGAAAAAAAAATGAATGGACGAATTGATGAACAAATACATAAAGAAAGGAAATGAAAGAAWAGCATCTGATAATGAAAAAAATATATAATTCAAGATTTAAGTTCACCTTTTTTTATTATCAAACACCCACATCCTGTCATTTTACATAGTATTCTTCGTTCATAACAAATTCAGTATAATAATCAATTCAATGTACCAAATCAAAACAACAYACCATAATTTCAAGATTCTAAACTAACACAACAACAATTGGCGTCACAAATTCATTGAAAATATAAGTTTCTTTTTCTCATAATTAAATTCTTTTCGCTCATTTATGCCGTGTGAACATATTATAGCTTTGCAGGCTGGCGAACAGTGGGAGTTTTACCGTGCGCTGCGACCAAAACCACTTCACAAACGCAAATGATATCGGAAAAAACGATCTTTCACTATGGAAGACGATTGTTCTTTTAAATTAACCATCTGTGCTGTTCCATTGGGAAACCGGACGCCGGAGGGCCGAATTTTCGGAATTTCTTTAAATAAATCTGAATAAAAAAATCATGATGAGTTAGAAATTTTAAATCCGCTCAAAAATTATGTTCAAGGAAAACCAGTGTAACTTTTAAGCAGGTGAAATCGGATGCTGGCAAGCCGAGTGCTGAATTTTTATTTATTTTTATTATTTTTTAAATAAATCTGAAAAAGGTAGTTTATTTTTTTCTCTTAAACTATAAAAGTTTAAGTTGCAAATTAAAATCGTTCAAATATATGCATTTAAAAATATTTTGGATGCTAAAAAAATAGTATTGTAACTTTGATATAGGTGAAACCCTACGCTGGCCGCAGGGCTGAATTCTTGATTTTTTCTTCAACAAATCTGAACAAGAGGTAGTTTGTTTTCGTTTAAACTTACAATTATGCGTCAAAAATTAAAAGTATTTTAGAACTTGAAAACCGTGAAAAAYCTTGAAAACATTTGTATAAGGGAAACCGGACACTTTATCGTCGAATTCACAGGATTCAGTTTAAATTTCTTTTTCATTAGAAACGCAAAATCGTTTAGGTCCTTTCCATGGAGAATTACCAAATACGTCCAATAAATAAAAACAAATAGAAAAAGGTAGTTGTCTTGTCATTCAATTCACCATCGCAAATCCAATATAAAATCTTGTTTGCATGACATATTTAAATTCACGAAAATTAATTTTAATCGACAAACTAAAGACAAACTAAAACTGATCCAATTTTACCATAAAAATCACAAAAAGAAATTAAAAAGAGTAGAAAAACACCGCGCACATTGTTCTCTGYGCGAAAGAAAACTCTCTTCAAACAAATGCTCAACTGTTTTCGTCAGTCAATAAATTCTAGTCATATTAAAAGCAAACTTTCTCATAAAATTTCCTTTCTACTTTGAATGAACAATTATCTGGTGTATGATTTTTGGTATTTTTCTTTAATTTTGAATATTTCGTTTCTTTATATTTGCACAAAGTCCAAGAAGTGGACCCAAGAGTTAAGATAAGAAAAAACACAAATAAGAAAGTTTCAGTAAATATGCGATCTAATACATCTAGTTTGTAAACTGTCACGCTGCGCTTTCCCTAAAAACCATTTTCAAAGAGGACGCCATTTGAAGCGCTTTTTGAATGGACGGGAAACGTGAACGCGCAAAATTTATGAAAGAAAGAAAACGCTTAAAAGAACGAGAGAAAGAAAATAGAATCGTTTTTGATAGACATAATGGCAATGGTTCGGTTCTCTTAGAGAGTGGGCGAATGCAGATTATGGCTGAAACGCGGCAATCAATCTGACAGCTTATGTAATAGACTCATTAAGAAATTGCTGGAAACTTTCAATATTACATGGGGCTTTATCAGTTAAGAAAGCGCACTGCTAGAAGATAACACAGCCCTATTTCCAACTTATCGACTTGGCAGTGATTCTATCCCCATTAAATTCGATGGTAAACATGATAAGGATGCGATATTTTTTTTCAATAACATTCAGCCAAATTGGTAAACAAGTCAATTAAGATTAAAAAAGAGAAAAAAAAGTGTAATCAATCATTTGAAATAGATTTTTTGTCACGTGACATATCACGTGATCAGAAAGTAATCTTGACAGTAATCTTGCATTTGACCACATAGAGAATTTTGTATGCGGCAAAACATAATGTTAGGCCCATGTTATCAACGTGTATTTTCTTTTAAAACGTCACGTGATAATAAATGAACGTCACGTGCATATACTGGGACCTTTGCCAAATGAAATCGTATAGTCTGTATCCAGATTTTATTTTTTGATTTTTTCTCGGTCAAAGAGATTGGAAATCAATGAAACTGCTTTGTTCTCTATTCGAGCTATCTGACTCACTGATGTTGGTATCTTTTCGACGTTTTTCGATTTTTGGAAGCCACTGATTACAAAGATTCAATCTATGCAATAAAATCCTGAGGAATACGACCCAAAATAGCGTCGAAACGTCGCGAAAAGATACCAACATCAGTGAGTCAGATAGCTCGAATAGAGAACTAAATAATGATAAATGATCATAAATTCTGCATATTTCTGTATATTAGCGATATTAATGTCGTTGGATATGTTGACGATGAGATTTTTCAAAGTGCTGAATATAATATAATTATCATAATATAATCATAATAATAATAAATATAATGGAATTCATGATGATGGTGATGATTATTGTTATTAGAGATTATTAGAGATTATCATTACGTATTAGCAGTCAGTTCTCGTCTATAGTTATCAGCAGTATCTGCATGTATTTAATTCAACATAAATTGTATAAGTTATTGTTATTTTCAGTCTATTTGACCCGTTTTATATTCTTGCAGAATCTCACATGAGTGGAGTTCAGAAAAACTCGGACTAATTTCAATTGAACACAACACATGTAAAATTCGAAGTATGACATTATTTGTTATTGTTTATGATTTAATTTACCTGTTTTATTTCACGGTTTTATTATCCCAAGCATCTAGATCTTTCTGTACTGATGCAAATGAGATTAATATTATTAGCAATTATTATTATTATTATTATTATTCGCATTATCGCCCTTATAGATTAGCACCTCAACTATACACTTTAGAG